AAACGTCCCAGGACTGACGCGATTGCGATTTCAGGCGTAGGGGGTTGCAGCTAAGCGGACATGCTTCGTGTAGTTAAAAACGACCCAAATTTGAAGCATCTGAGCAGCGACGTTCAAGGCATTAGGAAGACAGCTAAGGGGGACCTTTTACTGCAACTGAGTAGGAAGCCGGAGCATAGCGCTGAGGCTCTGCACGAAGCTGTAGGCAAGGCCTTGGGAGACCGAGCGGTAGTTAAAACACTTACCGAATCGGCGCAAGTTGAGATTCGCGATCTAGATGAGTTAGCGACCAAAGAGGAGATCTTGGAGGCAATTAGGGTGGAGTTGAAGGATAGCTCACTCCCCATTGAGGCTATCAAATCGCTTCGGCCAGCTTTTGGTGGACAGCAAAGAGCTACGGTTGCTCTTCCAATTGGGAAAGCTAAAACTCTGCTCGAGCTGTCCAAAATTAGAATAGGATGGGTAGTTTGCCGTATCCGAGCCGTGGAGCAGCCTAAACGCTGTTTCAAGTGCCTCGATTACGGTCATATGGCAGCAAACTGCGGCAGCGACTGTGACTTAAAGGGCGCCTGTTTCAGGTGTGGAGAAATGGGTCACAGTGCCAAAGCATGCACCAAGCCACCAAAATGTAGCCACTGCATCCGGAAAGGTGAAAAGCAGACGGACCATTCAGCAGGCAGCTTCAAGTGCCCATCTTACCGTGAAGCTGCTCGTAAAATGAAATGTTAAGGTTTTTGCAGCTTAACTTAAATCATTGTGTTGCTGCCCAAGATCTTCTAGAGCAGACCATTAGGGAAAAATGTATAGATGTAGCTTTTCTCAGTGAGCCTCACCACTGTAGAACCAGCTGCCCTAGGACATGGTCAACAGACGTTAATGGCAAAGCTGCGTTGTGGGTATGCGGCAACTCAACGAACGTACTTTCGAATGTTAAGTCATTCAATGGGTTCGTACGTGGCGGATATGGTAGCTTGTGGCTTTACAGTTGCTATCTGGCCCCCAGCATGCAGCTCAGTGAATTCACGACGGTGCTCGACGAGCTTGCCGAGGATGCTAGGGGTCGGAAGGCCATAATAGCTGGAGATTTTAACTCCTGGGCGCTAGAATGGGGTAGCCCAACAACAAATGCCAGAGGTCGTATCCTACTGGAGATCTTCGCGACACTAGATGTTGCACTGCTCAACACTGGCCATGAGTACACCTTCAGTCGGGCGGGATACGGGTCTGTTATCGACATTACTTTTGTCACTTCATCCCTCTTTCGGGGAGCAACATGGAGCCATTGCGATAGCTATACAGGCAGCGATCATACGGCACTTCTGTTCACAATAGGTGAGCCACCTGCCAGGGCGTCAACATTGTGGACGGAGTCGTATCGGCTAGATACTTTTGATCCCGCGGTCTTTTCAGAGGCCATTCAGTCTCTGGGTACAATTGGTAATGCTGAGGCCAGAGCATGCCAAATGGTAGCCCAAATACAGAGTGCCTGCAATAGCAGCATGTTACGCCGCAAGCAGTTCACGCGACAACATGAGCCTACGTATTGGTGGAATACGCAAATAGGTGACATTCGTCGCAAATGCATCCAGGCGAGAAGAAGCTACCAACGGGCTCGCGGTAGGCCAACGTTTCTTGAGAAACAGTTAGCTTACCAGGCAGCTAGAAGACAGCTAAAGAAGGCCATTCGGGCAAGCAAAAGAGAATGTTTTTTACAGTTGTGCGACTCAGCCGAATATGACCCTTGGGGCAGGGCATATAAGATAGTAGTTAAAAGACTATACGCAGGTAGACAGGTGCAGCCTACGGATCGTCTGGAGCTTAAATCGATTGTGGAAACACTCTTTCCAGAAAGTTTAAGCTCCATTCACGTCCCTGAGTCCGAGTCTGCTGATCAGGGCTCAACGAGCACTGAAATTGCTGAAATTGTTTTAGTTACAGAGGAAGAAATATCAGTAGTTCTCCGAGGTCGTGCGCTAAAGCTAGCCCTCGCCTTGCACCCAAGTACGTTCGCCGAATTATTTAACGAATGCCTGATCCAAGAGACGTTCCCGGCAAAATGGAAAGCCCAGAATCTGGTATTGCTACCCAAGGCTGGCAAACCACCAGATGAGCCATCTTCGTACAGACCGATCTGTCTCTTAGACACCATGGGAAAGGTGTTTGAGAAACTGATCTGCTCTAGGCTGGAGACTGCGATTGCAAGCGCCGGAGGCCTGTCACCAAATCAATTTGGATTCCGGAAGGCCCGGTCAACAACGGACGCGCTTAACAAAGTTGTTGGTCTGGCCACTTCCGCTATTCAAGGCACCAGATGGAGGCACGGGACGAAGGAATACTGTATCATCGCGACCCTGGATGTAAGGAATGCCTTCAACACAGCTAGTTGGGATATGATACTGAATGCGCTGTCACAATATAATATCCCTAAATATCTAAGAGAGATAATAAAGAGCTACTTCAGAGGAAGAACACTGGTATACAACACGAGTGAGGGTCCCCAAACTCATACAGTGTCAGCTGGAGTACCCCAAGGCTCAGTGCTGGGGCCTCTCCTATGGAACATCATGTACGACGGCGTACTGCGCTTGGAACTACCAGCAGGCGCGCACACCATTGGCTTTGCTGATGATGTAGCAGTCGTAGCCATAGGAAAGGAGCTCAAAGATACAGAGGATATGTGCAGCGAAAGTATCAATCGCATACGAAGCTGGTTGACAGGAGCTGGGCTCGAGCTAGCGGCACACAAGACCGAAGTTGTACTGGTCAGCAGTCGCAAAAGAGTGGAAACTGCCAATATAAAGATCGGCAGCGTCACCATTGCGTCAAAGAGGGCGATAAGATATCTTGGTGTCATGATAGACACAAGATTAACTTTCCGCGAGCACTTAGAATATGTGCATAAAAAGGCAGCTGATTCTTGTAGAGCTCTCTCGAGAATCATGCTTAACACGCGGGGACCTAAACAGCAACGACGTCTCCTCCTAATGAGCGTCATTAGGTCTGTCATCCTCTATGCTGCGCCAATATGGGCAAGAGCGATGGCAACGCCGAGCTACAGCCGAGGCATTTGCGCGATCTACAGGCTGAGCGCAATCAGAGTCAGCTGCGCTTTCAGGACTATCTCCGATGACGCGGCGCTCGTCATAGCCGGTATGGTGCCACTGGAGTATTTGGTCGCCGAAGCCGTGGAGCGGAATTCGCACGGGCCTACGCGACTCAACGCTGTCAGGGCGAACAGCATCGCACGATGGCAAAGAAGGTGGAATAGCTCAGCTAAAGGGCGGTGGACGCACAAGCTCATCCCGGAGCTTGAACCATGGGTTAACCGCAAACATGGCGAGGTTAACTTCTACCTTACGCAGATCCTCTCGGGTCATGGATGCTTTCGGAGCTATTTGAAGCGCTTTGGCCACGAGGAATCTGACGAGTGCCCCTGGTGCGAGCGAGGACATGTGGAAGACGCCAACCACATTCTTTTCGAATGTGGACGGTTCCTGGAGGAGAGGCGTCGTCTGGAAGAGGCAGTGGGCCGCTCCATCAGAGCGGACAACTTAGTCAACGCCATGCTGGAATCGGAGGAAGCTTGGGAACTAACAAGCACCTTCGCGGCCACAGTGATGATGGAGCTCCGCAGAGTCGAGCGACTGAGAAGACGAGCTGTCCCAGGCTAAGGTAGCGCATAGTGCTTGCGAAGCAATGCTTTACGGCCGTCCCGCAAGCACCGCGCGCTATCCTAGCCACCACGCAACTTGCAATTTGTTATAATTTTGTCAATAAATGAATAAAAAAAAAAAAAAAAAAAAAAAAAAAAAAAAAAACACACAGGCATACATACACACACATACATACACACACACATACACACACACACACACACACAAAACAATTACACACATACACACGCATGGGCGACAGTGTGCGCTTACTATGAGAATTCAATTGTTTAATAACTGTTTTTGTGGACATACGATCTTCATGAAACTATTAGATTATGATTATAACATGGATATGCATGTATTTGCCAAAGCACAAGTCTCTAGTATTTGAAATACGCCTTTTGCAAATGTGAGAGTGAGGGGGTGAATATAGGGGTGGAGGGTAAATTTTAACAAAAACCGAAATTGTATAAATTGCATATAAGCATACATTAAAAATTTGGAGACTCTAGCAATAAAGGTGTAGAAGATATAATTTTATAACTGGTTTTCTATCAGGGTTTTCATCGATAAAAAAGATCGGGATGAGTTATCGATTTTTAATGATAAACTTGATATCCGTGCTATAAATACGGACATTTAAAAAAAAATTTCTCTAGTTTTTATATCTTCCGAAATCGACACGTTCATACATACGGACAAACGGACGGACAGGGCCAAATCGACTCAGCTCGTCACCCTGATCATGAATATATATACTTTGTGTGGTCAGCCACGCCTCCTTCTGCCTGTTACATACATTTCAACAAAACCATTATACCCTGATTTCCCATTGAAAATGGGTTCAGGGTATAAAAAAAAACAAGTGAGAAAACTCTAGTCGAGAGTGCTCGACTAGATACTACCCTGAACCCAACAAATAAAAATGCCCATTTAGTATGTTTGAAATTTCAATTTCGATGTATTTACAAATATAAATAAAATACCAAACTCATTTAAAAAAATATAAAAATATTTTGAAACAATTAAAAAAGTTAACATCAGCTGCACCGATCGGGATTCGAACCGCGACTTCTCGATCGATCGTCATGCAGCTAACAAACTACGCCACCTCACTTCGTCAAGCGGTAGTGGCAAAACTCAAATAGATTCACTGCTGCAGCGCCATCTACCAAAACTAAACGAAACTAACTGCTGATGTGATTCTAAGAATCTGCTAGAATAACCAAAATATTAAAAACGCACATTAAGTATGGTTAAAATTTCAATTTCGGTGTATGTTAACGCATTTGGATATTTGCCCTCTGAATTATATTATATTATATATTATTATACAATATATATATTAAGAAATTGAATTATTATCGAAATTGTATAGGTTAAGTAATTGAAGCTGAACCACTGTACAGAGAAGTTGTTGTTGTAAGCGCTAGCACGGGAGTGTCGCTCTCCAAAAGATCGCTCTCTCGCTGCGCGCGGTTAGATGCGCATAGATGCGCTCTCTACTGTGCATGCTGCGCTTGCGTTGATGTTAAATTTATTAAATCAGTACAAAATTGAACACCGGTGCCAGCACTTCATTTACTTCAGAGAGACCGCAAGTTGCTGTCTACATTTTTTATAAATATATTGTACACTGGCCCATCGAAGGACCAGACCCCTTTTGGAAGGACATTTTTGGCGCCCCCGGGTGGACACTCTCTGGAATTGAAGGAAGCTGGATTATGGATTTTGTGGATAATCAGGGAAGTGCATAAATACATAGAGCACATAGATGACCAAGTAATGCGAGCGATAAATAAGTAAATGCATTACTTGAGACATACAAAATATTAATGTATGTACAATCTACGCCTATGTACATTGTGTTGAGCTTATTTAAAATTGAAACTTAATAAAAAATAAAAAAAAATAAGGTGCATAATGTAATTGACCTTTGATATGCAAAAAAAATTCAATCTCTATTGCCTCGCATAATCCAAGTTTTCTTTGGCGCCGTTAGTGTGTTACAGTTTTTTGCTCATTTTCGTCTCGCACTTTCGTTTTGCGCTTGCGCTCACAACTCGCTCTCGCTCGCTCGTTAAAGTTCGTTCTCGCTTGCACAGATAATTGCACTCTTAATTTACGCTCTTCATTTGCATGCGCGCTTGCAATATCGTTTGCACTCGCGCTTACACAGTAAATTGCGCTCGTACTTAACGCTCTTCATGTGTTAACTCACTTGCAATATCGTTTGCACTCGCGCTTGCACTTATAGTTGCGTTCTCGTTTTACTGTCTCGCTTGCACATATTAGTGCGCGCTCATTTTGCGCTCATTGCATACTCACTTGCTATATCGTTTGCACTCGCGCTTACACAGTAAATTTCGCTTTAATTTACGCTCATCATTTGCATGCGCGCTTGTAATATCGTTTGCACCCACGCTTGCACACGCAGCAGCGCTCTCGCTTTGCGCTCAAAACTTACGCTCGTAACTTGGATATATTCTCGCTCAAAACTTGCACTCTCGCTTTGCGCTCATCGTATGAGCTCGATCTGCACTTATATTTTGGCATTCATACCGACGCGCTCTCGCTTGTGAATGCATTGCACTCAGTCGCTCTACAGTCAAATATCACTCAATAGACCACTTGCCCAAATAGTCACTCAACATTTTGGTTATTGTCTTCGCTATATCGTTATCAGCTGTCTGTAACAGTCACTCAAGTATAGTTTAACACTGCCAGCGTAATATATTGAGATTTATTACGATCGCGCGCATTTGTTAATATTCTTGACTTGCTCTTCGCTTGTTGTCATACATTAAGTGAATTTTTATTTCTTTCGGTTGAAATTGGTTTCAACTGAGCTTCACTTATAGCATCATGACTAATAAGCGAGGAAAGAATAGGTCTATGGACGAGTCATCAACGGAGCGCTAACTCTACAATGATTAGCTCAGTGTCACACTCTAGGAATCTACCGAATATAAAGCTGCCAAAGTTTAGCGGAGAATATTCGGAATATAAGAATTTCATAGGACTTTTTGAGAGTTTAGTCGACAACGAGCCAGGGTTATCAAATATAGAAAAGTTTAATCACTTGTTGTCATGCTTGGACAAAGAAGCATTAGGCACTGTCAAGGCATATCAGGTGACAGATGCAAATTACCCAAAAGCGTTAGCTGCTTTAAAAAATGTGTACGACAATCAGTGTCTCATATTTTTTAACAGCATTTCAAAACTATTTGATCTCCCACACATGTCCGAACCGTCAGCATCACCTTTGCGCATGCTGATAGACTCAGTCCGTGCCATTTACGAATCTCTATTATTGCTAGGATCTGATAAGCAGATTTCGAATGCCATGCTCATCCATTTAGTAATGATGAAAGCGCTGGCACGCGCTCTAGGTGGGAAAAGAATCTTGACTACAATAAGCTTCCATTGTGGCAAGATTGTGAAGCTGCCTTGAACAGACGGTATCAGCATTTAAGTGCTGAAGACTCATCTGGTCCACGTCGTAAGGTAGCTCAGGATAATAGGAAAAGAATTGGGAAAACTTCACTAGCTGTCGCTCTGCCCAGTGAGCCGCAGAGTCCCAAATGCGTGTTTTGTAAAAAGAACGATCACTTCATTCACTCGTGCTCGTCGTTCGCAGCAATGCCTTGCCAGAAACGTTTTACGTTCGCAAACAGCTATCCGCTCTGTATAAATTGTTTGCGAACAGGACACTCAGTGGCTGCTTGCAAATCAGCCCACTTTCGTGTGTGCTCTAAGCCGCACCATACCATACTGCATAGATACAGCTCTGAGGCGGCTCAAAGTAGCTCAGCAGTTGTATCAGCAGTCCCTCGTGTCACTTCGTCACAGATTTCATCTGTAAATCACGCACGGATAGCCTCTAATCAAGTTCTTTCGGCAACTGCAGTTGTGAAGATTAAAGATCAATCTGGATCTTATCATTTAGCTAGAGCTTTATTAGATTCCGGCTCGCAAGTTAATTTCATAACTGAAGAACTTGCAAAACAGTTGAAATTAAAACGGCAAAGATCTGGGATTCAATTGTTGGGCATTGCTAATTGTCAGTCATCTGTTCGTCACAGCGTTCAAACTTCAATAGCGTCCCGAACGGACGACTTAGAAATCCGAACAGACTTTGGTGTGTTACGTTTCATTTCGTCGTATCAACCAGAGAAGCACACTGAAGAGATCAAGGTACCTGAGAACGTACAATTAGCTGATCCTCAGTTCCACAAGCCACAACGTATTGATTTGTTGCTCGGTGCTGATATTTTTTTTTTTATATATTAAGAGAAGGCAAAATAAAGGGACTTGATAACAGCCCAACACTGCAATTGACTGCCTTCGGTTGGATTGTATCTGGTCGCTGCCGAACATTGAATGCAACTAATAGTTCGTCGACTTTCATTAGTGTCGTAAACGACGACATTCAATAGTTCGCCATATACAATTAATTCGAATATGTATACCCCAGAGCAACAACTGTGCGAGAAGTCATTTGTGGAGACTATTTGCCAAACTACCTCGGGTCGTTTCAGAGTGTCGCTGCCATTCAAATCAAGCCCACATTGTCTTGGTACGTCTTATGACACAGCCAAGCGACGATTTCTGGCCTTGGAAAGAAGAATGAGCAAGCAAGAAGACATTCGGCGAATGTACATTGACTTTATGAAAGAATACTTGGCCTTGGGTCACATGAGCCCAACTAACAATCAAATTCCGAGAGAGCCGCATTATTTCATCCCATATCAATGCGTGCTAAGACCGCACAGTGGATACTAAACTTCGAGTAGTGTTTGATGCATCTAGCAAGTCCTCATCTCAATTGTCGCTGAATGATCTACTCATGGTGGGTCCGACCATCCAGCCGCAGTTGTGGGAGACTTTGTTAAGATTTCGACTTCGTCCTTGGGCTGCTACAGCAGACATCGCTAAAATGTACCGTCAAATTGAACTTGACGAGTCCCACCGCAACTTTCAACTTATTGTGTGGAGGGAAACTCCCACCGATCCGTTAAAAATTTTTCGTTTAAATACAGTAACGTATGGGACAGTGACTGCTCCATTCTTAGCAATTCGATGTTTAAAACATCTAAGCGACTTGCATGCTTCCACTCATCCAGCTGCTGCAAGATCGTTAGCCCAAGATTTCTATGTTGATGACTTGTTGACAGGAGCAGATAGCGTTGAAGAATTGTGCTTGTTACATCGACACTTGATAGCAATTCTTCAAGCGTTTGGGTTTCCTCTCACAAAATGGTCGTCCAATTGTAAACAACTCGCAGCACAACCAGCTAGAAACGATATAGTCATTGGTCATCAAGAGGACACTAAAACATTGGGATTAATTTGGAATCCGATGAATGACAGTTTTAGATATTCCATGAGCTGTCCAGTAGAAGTACAGCCGACCAAAAGATCCGTTTTGTCATTTGTGGCAAGGTTATACGACCCCTTAGGTTTGTTAAGTCCCATCGTAACTCGTGCGTAGGTCCTTTTAAAAGAAATGTGGTTGCATAAACTTGGGTGGGATGACCAATTGCCTGTCCAAATGAGGCATGAATTTGAGGCAGTAACTAGCTGTTTCTCAAACTTAAGCTCGTTGCATATTCCTCGTTACGTTGGCACACTCAAAGCAAAAGGATGCCAAATCCATGGATTTGCTGATGCCTCAACGCGAGCTTACGGTTGTTGTTTATATATAAGAATGAGGGTATTATTACCAGGCTGCTAGTCGCCAAATCGAAGGTAGCACCCTTGAAAACAAAATCTGTTCCGCGGCTGGAGTTGTGTGCTGCAGAATTGTTAGCTACCTAGTGGGATGCGGTAAAGAAAATACTTGATTGTCCTATCAATCAAGTCACATTTTGGTCAGACTCGGAGGTTGTGCTTCATTGGCTGCGAATGCATTCATCTAGCTTGAACACATTCGTTGCTAATCGCGTGGCAACCATCCAAGAGTTGACAACTAATGTATCTTGGCGTCATGTACCAACTAAAGATAACCCAGCAGATATTGTATCTCGGGGTTGTTCAGTTGAGTAGCTTAAAACATCATTGTGGTTTTGCAGACCAGGATTTTTAAAGCTTTCTGACACGTTGTAGCCAGCCAACCCACAAATCACCTTATCAAAACAGTTAGAGCTGCTAGAGAAGCGTAGAACTGCAATTACTATGATCGCGGTCGATGAGGTAACAAATCCCGTCATACAACTTATTGAATCAACTTCGTCATTCTCTAAGTTAATCCGCATAGTTGCATATATGTTCCGCTTTATTGATGGAAAACAAGAGAGCCATTCTTCACTTGTTCCTACAGCTTCTGAATTAAGTTTCGCATTCCTCCTAGTCATATCTGTAGTTCAACATATTGAATTCAGCGAAGAAAATAAGAAAATAAAGAAATCAATCGTGTTGCAACCGTCATTGCCAAAACTGACACCTTTTTTGCACCCACATCAGCATGGCAGGCGTGTGTTGTGGTTTCCTCGAGTCGGAGGTCGTCTATTGAAGGCACCACCAGCACATAATGCCAAATTCCCCTTGTTGCTTCCAAAAAAGTGTCGCTTTGTGACGCTTTATTTGGAGCATTCGCATCGCTCTCACGCCACGCCAATCCACTGGTACTAATGGGCCTGCTTCGTCAGCAGGTGTGGCTGGTCAATACTCGAGAGGCTTGCAATGCAGTAGTTAGAAAATGCGTACATTGTTTTCGCTACAAACCGAAACTCTTATCCCAAATAATGGGTAATCTTCCCGCTGATCGCTTACATGGAAATAGGCCATTTGAGATCAGTGGAGCGGACTTTTGTGGTCCAATACTAGTTTCGCTGGGAATTCGTGGCAAATCGCCAGTTAAAATGTATATTGCCATATTTGTTTGTTTTACCACGAAGGCTGTGCATCTCGAATTAGTCACCGATTTAACCTCGAATACTTTTTTGATGTGTTTATCCAGGTTCATTGGTCGACGTGGGCTTGTCCGGAAGCTATACTGCGACAATGCCACCAATTTCGTGGGTGCTGCACGCACGCTGGACCGCAAAGCTACTTTCCATGGCAACACAGCGGATACGGAAACGTTTGCTGTGGAGCGGGGAATGGAAGTTGTTTTCATTCATCCTCGAGCGCCGCATTTCGGCGGCCTTTGGGAAGCGGCAAATCTGCCAAGGGATTGCCGTTGAAGGGAATGGGCAGCGCAATCTTGCGCCAGGACAAGGTGGCCACCGTGCTGGTCGAGGTAGAGGCCGTGCTCAATTCGGGGCCAATGGTCGCTCCCAGCAGCAACCCCAACGACGGCGAAGTGCCGGGCACTTCCTGATAGGAGCAACGCTCGTGCCGCTGCCAATCGCATCCACAGAGCCAGTCGACGACGTCAAGCTGACATGCTTAAAAAGATGGCAGCTGACATCAAGCATCAAGCGTCGATTTTGGAACGACTGGTCAAGGGACTACCAGCTCAGCCTGCAGCAGAAGTCAAAATGGACGAAGAAGAGGCAGAACGTACAGGTCGGAGCAGTCGTGCTCGTGGGAGAGGACAACGCTCCTCCACAACAGTGGATGCTAGGCGTGGTGACGGAAGCCATAGTCGGAGGAGATGGTAGAGTGCGCGTAATTGTCGTTAAGACAAAAAATGGCACATATAAAAGGGCAATTCATCGCGTTGCACCACTGCCACTACACTAATACACCATATTATTGAAGCCCTGCGGCCTTTCAACGCGGCCGATGTTAAGGCATTTGGATATTTGCTCTCTGAATTATATTATATTATATATTATTATATTGTATAGGTTATATTATTATATTGTATAGGTTATATTGTATAGGTTAAGTAATTGAAGCTGAACCACTGTACAGAGAAGTTGTTGTTGTAAGCGCTAGCACGGGAGTGTCGCTCTCCAAAAGATCGCTCTCTCGCTGCTCGGGGTTAGATGCGCATAGGTGCGCTCTCTACTGTGCATGCTGCGCTTGCGTTGATGTTAAATTTATTAAATCAGTACAAAATTGAACACCGGTGCCAGCACTTCATTTACTTCAGAGAGACCGCAAGTTGCTGTCTACATTTTTTATAAATATATTGTACACTGGCCCATCGAAGGACCAGACCCCTTTTGGAAGGACAGTATATTTAAAAATATAAATTAAATAGAAAAAATATATAAATATTTTTAAACAATTAAAAAACAAGTAAGAAAGCTCTAGTCGAGACTACTCGACTACGAGATCCCCTGAACCCTTGGAGTAATAGCTTTTCCAAAAATTTTTCGCGTCTTCCAGCTTACACAAGAAACACGCACGCACACACACACACACACACACGCACACACACAGTCATACATACACACACATACATACACACACACATACACACACACACACACACACATATATACACAAACAATTACATACATATACACACACAAGCATAAACACGCATGGGCGGCAGTGAGCGCTTACTATGAGAACTTAACTGTTTAATAACTTTTTGTGGACGTACGATCTTCATGAAACTTTCAGATTATGATTATAACATGGATATGCATGTAATTGCCAAAGCACAAGTCTCTAGTATTTGAAATACGCTTTTTACAAAAGTGAGGGTGAGGGGGTGAATTTAGAGGTGGGGGGTAAATTTTAACAAAAACCGAAATTGTATAAATTGCATATAAACATATATTAAAAATTTGGAGACTCTAGCAATAAAGGTGTAGAAGATATAATTTTATAACTGGTTTTCGCTAAGGTTTTTTATCGATAAAAAAAGATCGGGATGAGTTATCGATTTTTAATGATAAACTTGATATGCGCGCTGTAATTACGGACATTTAAAAAAAATTGAAGTCTCTAGCTCTTATATCTTCTGAAATCGACGCGTTCATACATACGGACAGACGGACAGACGGACGGACGGACAGACAGACGGACAGGGCCAAATCAACTCAGCTCGTCGCCCTGATCAAGAATATATATACTTTGTGGGGTCTGCCACGCCTCCTTCTGCCTGTTACATACATTTCAACAAAACCATTATACCCTGATTTCCCATTGAAAATGGGTTCAAGGGAAAAAGACGGCAAACATTTTGCTCAAAAGTGCATAATTTTGGCTGCGAAATGCATCTGTGGCTGGAAAACTACAGTTGCCACCGGGAAAATTACGTTTATGGGAGCGCAACAACAATTTGTTTGAACTGCGCGCGCACGACAGCAAGCAGTGTACAGTGCGGCACCGAAAAACTTATCTGCGAGTGCATCCGCAATGCACAATGCACAGATACAATAACAAAGCAGTGCATGCGCAAGCATCACTCATATACGGCAGATGCGCAACAATAACGCGCGCAGCTGAAATTATGTATTTGCTCTAGCGAAAGCGAAAAGCGGAAAAACAACAACAAACCGCACGCATTCCAGGCGAAAGAATTTCTGCACACACACACACAGCGAAGCGAGCGTAGGCAAGGGTCAAGGGCCTACGTCGGCTGCTCAGCGATCGCTAGCGCACGAAGCGGCATGAAGATGTCAAAGCGAGCGACATCTAAAGGCATATTTTTGGGTTGCCCATTAGGAGATTGGTTCACCATCGATGCCTGCCACGCGACGGCTCCAGCCGGTTGTCTGTGCGTAGGCGCGTTTTGTTGGCCGATCCTCGCGCACTGGCCAGCGGCTTTGCTGGAGATGTGCGCGAATGAGGATTGAGCCGTAAAATGGCAGCCGGCGTCAAAGTTGGGCACCGGTAGCAGTTGCGAGCGACATCGATGTGGCCAACTCCCAACAGCAATCCAAGAATGTCTCTGCAGTGCCGCAACGGAGAGGACGACGAGGGAGTTGGCATGGCAGGTGGCCGCCGCACGGGTGCCAAAGCCACCGGGGGCTGCAAAACCAACAGGTGAATTTTGCAGCAGCGCTCGGCGTGGGCAGCAGAGGCAGCGGCGGCCCATCATAAATGCGGGGCATGCAGTCGGGCATGTGGCTGTCTTCAAGGAAAGTGTGGTTACAGACGCCTGCCACGCGATTGGCTTCACCGGCTACGAGTCTCTGGACGTCGGAAAAGCTTGGCAACCGATCCTCGCGCACTGGCCAGCGACTTTGCTGGAGCTCTGCGCGAAAGAGGAGGGGCCAACAAGCGTACCGACACCAAAGACTTGACACCGGTGCCCATTTGCGAACGACGTCTGTGGCCCGATCTCCTAGTAGCAGTACATGGAATGACTGCAGTGCCCACCGGGGCATCCCCAAGGGTCCAAAGAGGAGCAGGAACCAGCAGAGAGACGTCTCCAACGGCGAGGGACAACATGCGCCAAATGCATGAAATGGCCATTGCCGTGCGCGCGTGCGCCAATGCCACCGGGGGCTGCAAAACCGAGAGGCGAGTTTTGCAGCAGCGCCCGGCGTGGGCATTGGCAGCGGCAGGTCATCAGGTCAAGTGGCATGGAGGAAAAGATGCCCAGCCGGAAAACAAAATTTTTATTACAATTTTATTGAGACTTATAAAAATATTAACCCCATTCACTTACCTTACTTCACAGCATTGCCAGCGGTAAGGGTAAAAGGCAGCTGATAACATTAACAGAGCGTTAACAGCAGCGATCAGTGCAGCATCGAGGGAAGGAGCGACGCAAAACGGAGCAGCGCAGCGGAGACGGGCGCCAAATACAAACACGATGGTCTCGTGTTTTCCCAAAGAAAGAGGGGAGTGTGAGGAGCAATATAGGTATGCACGTATTAATGTATATAAACGTATGTATTTGCTGTGCGTTTATATGCATATACTTGCATATACATGTTGCTCCACACAGCGACGCGAATACTGTAGGAGCGACCCTCGCACTGGAAAGGGGGTCAAAGTCCTGTTGGAGGCGGTCTCTTTCGCTCCTACAGATTCAGCAATGGGTTCGCATCGCACGCACGACGATAGCCGAGGTGCCGCTCGGGCCGGGTGATAGCAGTGAACATTTTCACTCGCATGGCAACAACGGTACTTCGGCCAATGGGAGGCTGCCACGCAATTTGGCGGGAAAGTGGCGTCACCCATATCATGCCACTTTAACGTTTTTATGGGCACGAGCGACAGAAAGGCCCCGCTCCAGAGCCCAACAGGCCCCGTTACCACACGAAGCAGGGCCTGTGGCTGGGGTATAAAGGCCATCAGCAGCCCCATACGAGGCTGTCGAAACTATACTGAAGAGAAGATATAAAGTGAAAAGTCGAAGTGCGTGAAGAAAGTGCCAAAGTCAAGTGAAAGTCAACGCGAGTGGTAAATCAGGACTCCCAGGACATCGTGGGAACAGCAAGGACATCGTGGGAACAGCAAGGACATCCAGAGGGAAACCTTGCGGATCATCAGCGGCGTGTACATTTCAAACGTATTCAGAGAATATACATTTACGCTAAAATATACATTTACGCTATAAAACGATGGCACTGATGTGACAAAAACTCTCGGACTCATCTGGGAGCCTCAAAAGGATAGCTTTATATTCACTTTTAAGCCCAAAGTGCAGCTACTTTATTCCAAGGCTAGTGTCGCCCCACTAAAGACCCTCACTGTGCCTAAACTCGAGTTATGCGCTGCATTTCTGCTAGCGAACTTGATAAACGAAATAAAGAAACTGAACTTGTTCGAATATGAGATGCATTGTTGGTCAGACTCAACGGTGGTTTTGTCTTGGCTAAAGGAAGAGCCATCCAAATTCAATGTGATTGTCGCTAACAATATTTGTGCCATACAGCAGCTCACGATCGGCATGGAGTGGCATTACGTGCCAACTGAAATGAATCCGGCGGATATGTTATCTAAAGGAGTGGCACCGTTAGAGCTCTTGCACTCAAAATTATGGATGCATGGACCTTATTTCTTGCAAAACGAAAAACACTATTGGCCCAGGCACTGCTTGTCTGAGGCATGCCTGCCTGAAATGCGTCATCCGGAAAATAAAATCACCTGAGTTATCATCAGACGATCTGCGTCAAGGATCGTTCCTATTATGTCGTCTTGTTCAAAAAGCTCAGTTGCAACCGCAATACTCTGCCCTACAGAATGGAAAGAATATACACTCGTCAAGCGCCATTCTTTCGCTATTTCCATTTATGGAATTTGGATTTTGGATTACTAAGAGTTGGTGGTCGTTTAGGACACTCTACTCTCGGCTTCGATGCGCGCCACCAAATGATCTTAACCAAAAACCATCCCTTAAACTTCGCTATAATCTCCCATCTTCATCAAAAGCATCATCATGCTGGACCGCAGGCTTTGCTTGGAGCAATTCGACTGCAGTTTTGGCCCATCGGCGGCATGAAAACTGTTGCCCGAGCATTGCGAAAATGTATAATTTGCTGCAAATAACGACTGCAAATTTATTGTTGATTCAGGAACATCGTTTAGTATGCATACATATTGAGTATCCACTGTACCAAGAGTATTTCGAAGCAAGTAGTATTAATATGTTGGCGCGCACTGTAATTGTGCTTACTACCTACTCGCATATTTTCCCTTTTCTGTGTGCCTTCGTACTTATGCGTGTAGTTGTAGTCTCGGTGTGTAATGAGATTGTATGAGTGTGGTTGTAGTTTTCGGCTAAGTTCCAGGAATTGATTTCATCATATTGCATCAGCCAATATTTGCATGTTGTCGCTTAAGAAGTACCGTTTTAGCGGGGCGACAGCGTTGTGTCGCTGTCGCCGAGTGAGGTTCGAGAGTAGGCACAAAGAATAATTGAGAGACACAAGCTAGTTGCGTCTAGGATTCAAGTGCGATCGAAACTCGCTGCGCGAAACGATGACCGACAATAATACTGTTCCGACATCAGAAGTGGGATCTGGCCCTCTACCTTCAACAGTAGATGCGTCATGGAAAGCCATAACGGAAATGCAAAATAAAAATTTAATTGAACTGGTGCG